TAGTTTGGGGCGCTTGGGGTTTATGATCATACAGCTTCAGAAGTTTTCGGGTTTACCCCCTTTTAGTCTGGGTTTAGGGCTTACCAGCTCTATTATGCCCTAGATACCCACTATTAAGGACCGTAAGGGCTCTATTAAAGGGTACTTGGGGGGTGCTGATCGGGTTGAGAGTTTAAGGTATTTAGTTTGGGGCGCTTGGGGTTTATGATCATAGACCCCTAAACCTTAAACCCTAAACCATAGAGCTTCAGAAGTTTTCAGGTAGGTGTCATTGAGATTGCACTGGGGAGTCCAGGCCCCAACTTCAACTCATAAACCCATAACCTAAGCCGTAGAACCTGAATCCTAGAAGGGAACCTGGGTTCGGTAAACCATAAACCCTAAACCCTAGGTAGAAGGACACCCGGGGTCGGTAAACCCTGAACCCGAAACCCTCCTCAGAGGGGAAGTCGGGGTCCGTAAACCCTGAACCCGAAACCCTCTAGCAGGAAGGGAACCCGGGGTCCGCAAACCCTGAAACCGAAACCCTAAACCCTAAACGCTAAACCCTAAACAAGGGAACCTGGGTTCGGTTTTGAAGTCTTGAGTTCGGCTCTTAGGAAGGGGCGTCGTCAGGGATCAGGGCAGTGCGAGCACGGGAACGACAAAGCGCCTAGAGTACACCTTCTGCCTTATGCCTTGCGTCGATACTACAGTATATGAATACAAATTTGAATAACGATCGTCATATGAAAAACAACAGTTAATTACGATCATCATAAGAATCGATTACTGGTACTTACTGATTCTCACATACTTCAACGGTCACCTCCGGCCCTCCGGCTTCTGGGATGCCTTTGACAGCGGAGCCGCATTCGAGGAGATAAGCTGGGCTGTGCAGATCTGCGGGCGTTATCGGGGTTTGGGGTTCAGGGCTTAGGGCGCCCCTGGCCAGGAAATCTCACATTATATTTTCCTCTTGCATGCAACTTCATATCACTTCATCATTCGTTGCATGTCCTAGTTTCGATTGAGGTTATGCTATCACCGTGGCTGCCTAGACTGGAGCACGTCAAGCCTAAAGGTTTTGGTATATTTTCGTATCATGGCCCACAAAAGCCGTCATACGCAGGAGATCCTAAACCCTTTAGGATTCAGGGTCTCATCCACTCCGAACTCCAAGATCCCAAGATACTGAAACCCGAAACCTCTGCCATTAATACCAGCGGCCGGGTAGCTTGCCAGGAGTTTGTCGTATTTGGCCCTAGGTAAGACCCGGGTTACGGGTTCGGGGTGCCTTTGGCAACGACAAGGATGCGAAGCAGCTGCACTGTGCCGACCGCGAGCTTAGGCTCGGCATGCTAGAGACCTGAAGCATCCTCCCCTCCAACGCCCAGGTCTTACTTGATTCAGCATTCAAAGTATCCGATGAGCCGGTATTTCAGTGATCCCAGTAGTACATCCTCCAATGCTGTTCTTGTCACGTTACGACCACGCTTCTTTGGCTCTGCGGTGCAGGCACCCTTGCGTCACTGAGCTCTCGCAGTTCCTGAAGGACATGGTATGTTGAGGAAATGCTGGAATCCGACCAGGGGGTCGGGTGGGGTGCTGATGAGGGACTCCGTTTAAATGCAACAAAGTAGAACCCAGAAAGTTGGAACGTCATCATCCTCGTGCCCTTAAGGTAAAGTATAGGCAATCTCAGCACGAAATAATAATCATGACTATGATGGCTGTGTTTATGATGGTCAAGAAGAACATGCATTTCGACTGCTGTGATGATACGAACTGAAAACATGATAGTGGTGGTGGCGATGATGCGGCCAAACCTCTAAACCTTATGTCTTAAACCCAAGTAATATAGGGGCCTACATAAATTACCAGTATTATTGTTTTTTTTGGGTGGTGGTTCTTTATTATATTTATAGTATGATGGACCCCAAAATCCTATTCCAATTATTAAGGCCCCTAAACCATCAGCCCTTATAGTTACCCTTATAGAACCCTTTAGGGAAACCCTTAAAGGAACCCTACACCCCCAAACCGTATATTATGATTATAGTGATGCCCATGTTCAAGGTTGCCACCGTGCCGAGGATGGTGAGGCTCCCTTCCCCTAAGGGTCCAAGTACCTATCATTTAAGGATTTTGGGGCCTTCTCGGGAACTTAAAGTCTAACCCCCCAGGTACCTACTATATAGGGTACTAGGGCCCCTAGGGCCCTATATAGTAGGTACCTGGGGGGTTAGGGAAAGTCATAAATAAGGACTGCTTGGACCCTTAGGGTTCACCTGACAGGACCGGAGCAGCAGCGGCGCGCGTCAGTCGCCTGTCTCCTTTGAGGTTTCGAGAACTTCGGGTTTGTATGGTATCGCATGGTATGGTATGGTATGGTATGGTATGGTATGTATGTATCTACGTATCTACGTATCTACGTATCTACGTATCTACGTATCAACGTATGTATGTATGTATGTATGTATGTATGTATGTATGTATGTATGTGTGTATGCATGTGCGTATGTATGTGTGTATGTATGTGTGTATGTATGTGTGTATGTGTGTATGTATGTACATACATACATAC